AAATTGAAAAACCAAGCTAGGCCGGTTGTTATATTGTAGCTGTAATAATTGGGGCTATGTCCTGTGCAGCCACCATTTGCTAATGTAAATACTTAAATAACAATAAAGTAATTAAAGAAATATAGCTAATCTAGGTTGGGTTAACTCCATATAAACAGACAAAAAGTAGCCTGTCTGTCAGAGAGTGAAAGCCATCTTCTAAAAGTTTTTATTTATAAAGCTTAATGTCCCATAATATGGGAAAAATGTTATTATAATACAAGAAAATGGAACTAATTATGTGCAGATTTATTAAATAGATGAGTTAATTTTATTGAGGTCAGCTGCTACTAATAATTTGATGGGCAATGGTCTACAAATAGGTCTAACATTTATTGAACAATATATTGTGCTCCTTATTCATTGTTGACAAAAATTTCAAAGAAAAATTGCCTATTCTGGCTATTCACATTGCAAGGCCAAAATTATGTACATAATTTCAGTAATAAATTAAATAAATTTACCAATGACAAGTGCGACTAGCTGTGAGAGTCTTTGTGGATATAGTGACAGTCTTTGCAATTTCACATCATGATTAGCCAAAAAAAACAAAAGTTGATGCAATAAAGAATAATAGATTAATTCCTAATTATTTACAAACATGTACCAGTACCTTTTGCATTTATATTGTGAAAAATATCTATATTTTTATTTCATTTCTGTATATTTTTCTCAGACTAGAATGATAACTGACAAACTGCGTAATACCGCGTGCAACCCCCTGCTAAGAGACTTGGACTAGTACAATAACTGTAAATAACATGAAGTTTCCTGAACAAAATGGCGGAAATTTTAATAAAAAATGTTGATGTTTGATCGTAAAATACAAAAAAACTGCAGGTTTGTGCGAGTTACAACAACTGAATTCGTACTCAGCGTATCAAAATCTATAGATTCATGTAAACTAAAAGTATTCCCCGAATGGGGGCACCGGAACTGAACGATAAGCGGCCACAGAATACGGCCTAAATGTACAATTCACTAGTCCTACCACATTTCACTTACTGCTCAACAGTTTGGCACAACGGAAATATCACCCATATTGACAAATTAAGTAAATTACAAAAAAGAGCAGCACGTGTTATCACTAACTCAGGGTATGACATAAGATCAACAGAGATCTTAAATAGATTGAATTGGGAGCCTATTGCAAATATCCTCGAACAACGTGAACAAGCAATGACATTTAAGGCAATTAACAAAATGATACCAAAATATTTAACAGAAATGTTTACTATGTCCCAGAACGACAATTTGCATTGAGAAGTAACGAACGAAAACTTCACTTATCAAAACCAAACACTAACTTCCTTAAGAAAAGTTTTTCCTACCGCGCAGCAGTGTCATGGAATAAACTTCCAAACGAAATTCTCGAGGAGCATGAGCATCTTTCATTGAGTCAGTTCAAAAGGCTTATTAAAAATTGCTAAGATAGCGAAATTTTCCCGAAATTTTATCGAATGTTTATTTTCATTGTAAGGTCGTTATGCATGTTATAATTACTGACCCGAATCAAAAGTAATTATTTTCGGCTGGAAGACTACGTTGCTGCTTGTTGGGACCGTATGACAATGAATCTATCCAACGTTACACTAGACATTTGTGAGGACATGCATGTAATGCATCGTGATCATAGAACAGATTTCAGTTTAATTAATCGCCCTAAATTAAAATCTCCACAAGCGGAGGTCAATTATAATGTTCTAGTTTACATATTATCATTAATGATAAGGTTAATTCAAAGAGCGTATTAAACTGGATAAACACGGGAATAGAACTTATGGTGTGTTCTGCACATGCGTATATCTAGGATAAAATCCCACAAGCGCAAACGAAACTATTTCTCTATAAAGTTGAGCTGAAAGGACACACAGTGATCGTTTTAACAGTGCTTCAGGCGCCCGATGATATTGTATGAGGGGCCTTTAGCACTGTCAACTTCTCATCTTGAGATGTTCACGTTATCGCGTGTACTTGTCAGGATGACGAAGGATTGCGAATAATGTCTGTGTGCACTGATACACGCTGCATTATTTTTAATAATGCTGTGTGCACGCTGCATTATTTTTAATAATGCTGTGTGCACGCTGCATTATTTTTAATAATGCTGTGTGTGCACGCTGCATTATTTTTAATAATGCTGTGTGCTATTTTAGGCTTTTAGCCCGTATAAACATTTACCCCTGGGAATTTCCCTACAATCAAAAAAGACCGCTCCCGTTTTTCAGAAGAACGCTAAAACTTCTCGACATTCGCTGATATAATGCAGAGAGAAAACAATATATCGAATAATGCCGTTGGCCTCAGTAATTATCTATTAAATACTTCAATTTGAATTAATGTTAGTGTGTTATACTTTAGGTTTAGATTTAGTTTTATATATTTTTAATAGTTTTAGACCACGGCCCTTTGAAAAACAGGCAACTGAAAGGTTACCGTGGATAAATATGTTTAAATAATAATAATAATAATAATAATAACTATATGTTCGTTTTGTAGTCTTAGAGTTGTTGTCGTTGTTGCAACATCAGGCCTGTAACAACATAATTCTATAATCACCGCCTAATATATGTCATACAGTGATTATGAAGACTAATTTCTTGTAAATAAATATAAATATTATCTAGTTTTTCAGTATATATAACTCCTCCTAGTGTAGTATAATACTGTTTTAGGAGTATTTCATTAAAGAAGGACGGAAGGACGTGCTCTTAATAGGCTCCATCAAAATGTTGCTAATACAAATGAAAATAGTTGTCTGAATTCCTTTCTTACTAGTGCTAGTTGCACTAAACTGTCTGGCAGGTCTTATGATGGAGTACGTTTAAAGTGGACCGGTGATTTAACAAATTTAAAACGAATTGTACGAGAAGTGTGGGGCCTTGAAGGCAAATGGTCATCACCTGGGGGCCAGTCGAAGAAGTTTTCTAGCACAAACTCTGACTTAGTAGTTACATGGCATAAAGGTAAAGCAAAATCTGTGCTTTTTAAAGGTAGAGACGGTGTTTTGGTGCGAGATCGATGTATATTGCTTTGCGAACAAGCAACTCAGTCCATGCTAAAGCCACATTTGCCAGACTCCAATGAAATTAAACTGTCGCAGCAAAATATTACAAGTGCGTGTAATTTTCCTAACCTATCGGACAGAAATATGAATGCCGCCGTCGATTCCCCTTCCCCGGTTGGGAGTACACAAGGCAGAACTATCCATCGTTCAGCTCCCGCTTTTGTCAATAATCATTGCCAGACTGAGCATATGGAACTGAATAATAATAATTGTGCTTGTGGCTGCGGAATTCTGGTTGCTGAGTTTGAAGGGATAAAACTTCGGATTTAGTTATTTTACAAAAGAAATTTGAGATTGAATTTGCGACCGAACGTACCAATGTAAGCCAACTTAAGCGAGAACTTGCTCATGAAAAAGATAAAAACAGTCGTCTTGAGTCCGATTTAACTATTTTAGTCAGGGAAAGAAATCAGGAGATAAATTATTTGAATAATACTATTGTCTGCCTTGAGAATAAACTCAAGTCAACTGAAGCGAGTAATGAATCTTTAAGTGAAACAATAATGCGCATAAAGTCAGTTAAACTTTTGAAATCAAAACAATGCGGAATTCTTCCATTCCTGAATCGGACCAAAGAATGTGATCAAATCAATAATGACCGTATTGAGGTGGAATCACCGGTACGTGATAATATGAAGGATGTATGTCTAAAACCGAATGACAATAAACCCGAGGATAGTAATGAGGAAAACGAAAGGGTTAGTCAACCTATGGCATCTAATATACAAGCTAGTACGTCACGAGGTAAATACTAATTTGAACGCCTCGTTGCAGTCGGAAAAACGCTCTGAGGGAGAGATCTCTAAAGTTTATAGTAGTGACCAGTTTATTCATAACCCAAGTGGCCCTAATCCATCTGAAGGTCAGAATGTCAAATCGCATAGGAAAAGTATTTTACCCAACTCGCGATTTTTACGACAAAATTCATCCTGGATTAACTCCTTAGACCTTACCCTTGATTGATACGTCTTGTACGTGTACTTCCAGCCGCACACACACTCGTAGTCGCTCCAATAGAACTTATTCTAGTAAAACTACTAGCTGCAAGAAACCTAATCAGTATCAAGCGACACGACAACAACCACCACAAAACCGTACTCGGGTTTTCAACTACATTTCCCCAAGCACAATCGTCTCAAACATTCAGTAAATCAGAATTTTCGTCGTTCCCGAATGAAAGAATGGTCAGTCTATCTCGAATTTGTGCGTCAAGTAACGAAGAACAAATAACCTCTCGAAGTCACTTATTCCACGCGGAAATTGTCCGCGATAATGGTGATCCTGTACAAATTAGCGATAATGACGATAATGACCTAAACTTTTACCCAACTGAGATTATTGACTATACCAATGTGACCCCTCGTTTTTTGAATAGCGAAACCTCTTTCCTATACATCCCGGATGGAATAAGTCCACAGTCCTCTTTAACCTTACATAAAATATCGACACCAAATGAAACCAAAAATAGAACGAACATCTCCGTCCATATTACAGATCGTTCTAGAACGTTTAAACAGCACAAGAAGCGCAAGAATTGCTATCTTCCCTCCTCCAACCTAATCCATATTACAACTTTAAACCATGCTTATAAGGTTAACAAAGAAATGATACTCCCATGTTTCTTTTTACTTAATTCCCGCTCACTCCTTCCAAAGCTGGACGAATTGACAGCATTACTAAGTTTCAAGCCCATTGACATTATCGCGATAACTGAATCATGGTTACACGAACACATAGACAGCAGCTTATTGTCAATTAACGATTACAATTTATTCCGTAAAGATCGCGCAATTGGACGAGGTGGCGGAGTTTGTGCTTATATTAAAAAAGACATCCCTTGTATACGACGGGTAGACCTAGAAAGTGAGAATTTAGAATGCTTATGGCTGAGCATTTGACCGAAACGCCTCCCTAGACCTCTATCCGGTATCGTTATCTGTGTCGTGTATCACCCACCTGGTCTGACAATATCAGAACACAGTGATCTTAATGAACATTTAATTAACACTATTGACCTACTTCGAAATAACCACCCTGACCTTGGTCTAGTAATTATGGGTGATTTTAATGATCTTGAAACTCGCAGTTTGACCACCAGTCAAAATCTTAAACAAGTTGTTGTTGACCAACCCACTAGAGAATCAGCAATACTCGATCTTATTCTTACAAACCTGTATAATTTATATGACCGCCCTAATGTCCTTGCTCCATTAGGATCCAGTGACCATAATATTGTACACTGGCTACCTTCAGTCGATAGCATTCCCATCCACAACATCCAAGCAAAACCTGTTAAATCCTTAGTACGGCGCTATCCCAGATCAGGAATAGATGCTTTCGGAAGATGGGTTACCACACATAATTGGTTTTGTGACCTTGAACCCAACCCTACTCTTGATAGCTTGGCAATCTCGTTTACAAACCAGTTAACAGAAAGTATTGACCGAATCTTCCCACAACAGACGTCAACACGTCATCACACCTATAAACCATGGATAATTAACACCTGCAATAAAACAGCTTATCAAATATCGACAAAAGGCGTTTCATGGTCATAATACAATCTTGTGGAAATCGTTGAAATATAAGGTCCAACATGAAATCAATGCGAGGAAAATATCGTACTACAAAACAAAGGTACAACATTTAAAGAAGGATGACTGCCGTATGTGGTGGAAAATCGTAAATAAAATGGCAGGAAAATCTGGAAAGAACTCCTTTTCGCTTGAACATGACGGAAGAACTCTGGATCAATCAGAATTAGTTAGAGCTTTGAATGTGTTCTATGCATCGGTGAATAGTGACATTCCACCACTTAATTTAGCGACACTCCCGGCATTTCTTCCGGCCAAAGAACCTGTCCAACAGTTCAACCACATGAAGTATCTAAAAAGCTCTTAGAAATTAAACCTTTTAAAGCTCATGGCCCAGATAACGTCCCCTGTCGTATCCTGAAAGAGTTTGCCCATGAATTAGCCGAACCTGTTGCAACTATTTTCAACGAATCACTTTCATCTGGAATCGTGCCTGCAATATGGAAAGACTCAGACATCATACCAGTTCCAAAATCACAACCTCCTACCTGTGAAGGTGACACCAGACCCATCTCACTGACACACTGCCTGGCTAAGGTTCTTGAAGATTTCGTGGTCGGGTGGATGATAACCGATATTAAAGACAAGATCGACCCCAAGCAGTTTGGATGCTTGAAAGGAACATCCACACTTGGTTGTGCAACTTAGAGTGACCTGAAAAACATCTTAGACTTTGTTTCCTTGAATTCGAAAAGGCGTTTGACTGTATAGGACATAATTTACTAATATTAAAGCTGTTGGACCTAGGTGTTAGATCGTCCCTGTTGCCTTGGATTATCAACTTCCTAACTAACCGCCGTCATCGGGTCAAACTTGGAGGGAAAACGTCAGACTGGTTGCCAATGAATGCGGGTGTCCCCCAGGGAACTAAAGTCGGTCCAATTCTGTTTTTGGCGATGATAAATGATCTCGATGTGAAACCACACGCAACGGATATTTGGAAATTTGTGGATGACATATCAACATCGGAAAATATCACAAAGGGCAGCAATTCAAAGTTTCAGTTCTGTATTGATACTATAAATTCTTAGGCTTCGTGCAACCTTATGAAACTTAACCCCAAAAAGTGCAAAGAACTACGCGTTTGCTGTCTGCTGAAATCACCTGATCTATCACCATTGTTGATCGACGGTCATGCGCTTGAGGTTGTGCGGTCTCATAAAGTCCTAGGTCTGGTTATCCAAAACGATCTTAAATGGAATGCACACATAGAATCAGTTGTATCCAAAGCTTCTAAACGTTTATATATCATCCGCATATTACGACGAGGTGGTGTCCCTGCGGAAGACTTATTGAGTATATACTTTGCCTTAATACGATCGGTTCTGGAGTACTGTTGTGTGGTATGGCATCATGCCATACCTTTGTACCTCGCCGATGATTTAGAGCGAGTGCAAAAACGAGCGCTGAGGATCATTTTACCGGGTTACTCTTATAGGGAAGCATTAGCACAACTTGGGTGTTCCAGATTGGATGAAAGGCGAGAACGACATTGCCTCAATACTATGAAACGCATAGAAATTGAAGGACCACTGTCAAAATATGTTCCATTGTCTAGGGCTAGTTCAAATGATTATGAACATAGAAACTCTAACACATTAACAACAATAAAATGCCGAACAGAAAGATATCGCCGTAGCTTTTTTCCCAGTACAGTAGCTCTATATAATAGTTATAGTAAAGAAACTTAAGCGTGATACTTAATTACGATGATTTTAATGCAATTCAATAAGATTTTTAGACTTGATGCATGCAACTAAATTTTTTATATATGTAAACATATAGCGTACCAATTTTGTAAACGCACCATAATTCAATCTATTGCGAAGGTGTGTTTCTTAAACCATTAATAATAATAATAATAAAAAGCATTAAAGCGAGTTTGGCCAAGATGGCTGACAAGATCGTAGAGGTCGCTCCCGTGCATTCTACCCTTTCCACCGTTGTTCCCCAATCAGCACCATCACCCACAGCACAGTCCACTGAAATGCGCGAACTTCGAGACCTAGTTGCTCAGCTGACCACCACCATCAACAACTTCAGCCTCCACACTTCACAGCAACATGGTCATACCGAAAGACGTCGCAGTCGGTCCCCTACACGCCGTTCGTCCTCTCCATTCCACAACCGTGAGCTCACCACTACTGATCCAAGCCCCCGCTCCATTTTTTGTTGGTACCACACCAAGTTCGGTGCCTCGGCTAAGAAGTGCTCGCCACCTTGTTCTTTTTCTCAACAAACATCATCACCGTCAAACTATCACGCCAGACAATAGACGCGGCAGAGTCGTCTGGCGTTTCTCACCAAAGCCGCCTGTTTTACATTACGGACGTTTCAACAAAACAACAATTTCTCATCGACACAGGCGCAGAAGTCAGCGTCCTTCCACCACGACCATCAGACCGTACACACCGCCAAGGTTATGATCTTCTGGCAGCCAATTCCTCAACAATTGCTACCTACGGTACCCGATCTTCAACCATCAACCTCGGTCTTCCACGATCCTTTCCCTGGATTTTTACCATCGCAGACGTCAACCACGCCATCATCGGCGCTGATTTTCTTCGTCATTTCAACCTTCTCGTTGACCTACGCACACGCAGCCTTATTGACGCAGTAACCCAACTTCGTGTTAACGGTATTACTTCGCCAATACCAGCTCTTAGTCCTGTCTATGCTCCTTTCCCTCCAACTCCTTTCACGAAACTCCTCGGCGAGTATCCAGACATTACCAGACCAACAACCAAGCAAACTGCTGTTAAGCACAATGTCGCCCAACACATCTTTACGCGAGGACCACCTTGCTCTCCTCGACCCCGGCGCCTTCCACCAGAACGACTGAAGATCGCTAAAGATGAGTTTCAACATATGTTGGACAAGGGAATTATCCGCCCCTCCAGTAGTTCTTGGGCCTCTCCACTTCACATGGTTCCCAAATCTCAACCCGGGGACTGGCGTCCATGCGATGCGGGGACTATCGTGGTCTTAATCGTGTCACCATACCTGACCAATACCCCGTTCCACATATTCAAGATTTCTCCGCCAGCCTCCATGGTAAAACCATCTTCTCCAAGATTGACCTCGTTCGAGCTTATCACCAAATCCCTATGGCTGAAGACGACATTTGTAAGACCGCAATTACTACCCCTTTTGGTTTGTTTGAATCTACCAAGATGCCCTTTTGTCTTCGCAACGCAGCCCAAACCTTCCAACGCTTTATGGACGAAGTTACTCGTGGCCTCGATTTCGTTTATGTGTATATTGATGACATTCTCATCGCTAGCACGCTTCTTGTGTTTTATGTACGGACCTTCACCTAAAATCATGGACTGGAGCCAAATGAACAGGTTGAGTGAAAAGAAAAGATATATATATATATATATAGTATGGTTTCATTTGCAACAACGTCTTCAGACATTAGAAAATATTTAACACTGAATTGAAACACTTACCCAAAATGAATCTCTGATCACAACTGGTGGAATGACATTGTGTCCACAATCCCATGTAGCGATTTATTCCAAAATTGTTATAAAGTTGTGAATTAGATATATACCTTGCACACCAGGTTTCAAATGAACTCTTATCGTTCCCTTTATAATAAACAGATAATGCTCCCTCAGGGGTCTGGGTTATAGCACGATAGATGCTCTCGTTAGGTTTCTGAGCACAAGCAGCTGTGTCTAAACTGACTGAGTCAACGTAAAGGTGAAACATATCAAGATCATAACCAGAACCATTCTTATTAAAAGCAGCGAGACATCCATGTCTTTTAGATTCAACGTGGCACCATTATCACGAAACCGAAACTGACCAGCTGGGTCCAGACAGCTGTTGTCGGAAAATCCCAGAAAAAACAAGTTCCCCCAACTGCCGCTTGACTGTATTTGACCTGTGTCTTTAATACTATCTCTTGAGGTTAAGCCATAGTAATAGCCCGAAAACTGTTTCACAAAGAAACAAGTTGCACCTGAAAAACAATGCAAAAAATAAAATTGCTGGTCTCTTACTGTACTCTCCGGACGATTTTATTGTCACATTGCGCTGTAAATATCAGTTCTAATAATATTTTGCCGGTGACCGATTATTCAAGAATTTGCATTTATTTTATTCTTGCATAACAGTTACGAGTTAGTGTCACTGATCTAGAAATACTTAAATCAGTGGTTAGTGTCTGTTACAAAAATAGTTTGGAATCCTTGAAACTGATGTAAAACATTCCTGTGGGCTGTGGCCGGCGCATCATTTTATACTTTAGTCAAAGTGTACTATAAACAAATAAACTTTGACAGTGTAAGTCAGCATTTATAAATCGTTTCATTTTGTTCACGTTATATTATGAACGCAAGGTGAAATCGCGATGTATACCTAATTTTAGTGTCGCAGTGATCAACAATTTGTGCCGCAGTGATAAAGTAACTGAAAATATTTAAATTAAACAATGCGTGCAATAAAAGAGATCGAATCCACCCGTTTTCTATTGTATAAGTCAATTGTAGACCATTTTCTATTTTTCTCTGAGACAACCCTGATTCCGTTGAAAAATTCCGGTCACGGATTGCAATGTGTGGCATGGATTTTCATTGTGTTGTTCGTAAAATATTCCTTCATGGAAATACCAGTAGACGCCGTAGTCTTGAGCTCTGGACTGCCAGACTCGGCTTATGGAATGTGCAGTGATAAAAGATTCATACAATTAGGTATGTCGCGATGATTTTGAAACGTGACCAATGGCAACGCGTACGATTTTGAATGAATTTGAAATTTGTAAACGCCATGTAATAGTGTATACTATTCTTTCCGGAGTCGTTTGACCCCAAACTAGTCATTCGTCCCCAGAACGACTCTTTTGAGATGATTAAGTTTGACTCTTTTCAATTTACAGTGTAGTTACGAACTATAATCTCTATCGCTCTTATGGTTAATTTAGCACGTTATAAATGCTGGATCATAAAAAGACTTGTACCTTTCAATTCTAAGGACACGACAACCAACATCACAAAACGAAAACACTTTGGAAACATCTTCTTTAAACCAGGAAATCGCGACTTCTAATTCTGAGACAAGATGCAAACATTTACGTTGTGAGCGCGGAAGAAATGAATCAATGTAGCGAAACAAAATTAGATATAGTCTGTGGTGCTTTTCAATTTCATAATTGCATAAAAAGAAAATACCAAACATATTCAAAGCAAAATATTTCTCTTGATGTCTATTGTGTTTAGATGGTAACTGTCATCAGTCTGAAATAAATCATGGGAGTAATATTTTTACAACGCTTCGTCTTAAAACTCTAGCTAACAGGTAAGGGAAAGCTGTGTTTTTGTTTATATTCACATTCTAAGTACAGCTTTTAAGAATTTATCATTTTCATTGTTCTCAGATATGACATACAGAACAAGTACATCATGTTGAGATGTTGCGTTTCAGCAACTTCTAGATGTTTTAATTAGAAGTCTTAGAACAATTGAGTTATAACTTTCTGACAACCAAACCTCCATTCTTCGCAGAGTTTTCCGCTGAACAGTAACACTTCTTCTCCACGGGAATCTCTGCGACGGAGAGAGCTACCTGACTACCATAATCTATAAATTGAACAAAACTTTACGTTGTTAATAAATTGATTTAGCCTATTTAAATATCTAACAAGTGTTATTACTAAGTAATATTTTCACTTATTGAAAAGATAATTGGCTCCCAAGCAATTATTAGTATGAAAGATCAAATTATAATAAAACGATATCAATTACTGAATTCTAATGACGAGTAAACAGTCATAAAATTCCAGTTTTGGTTCGACTCATCAAGGTTTCTTGTAACAATAGATTTAGCGTTTTCATAAAAGCTCGCATAAATTTTCGGAAACAAGATCTAAGAAGCATTTACGTTATGAAAGCACGGAAGACGAAATGAACCAATGTAGGAAACCAAATTCTCCGTCAAGATCTCCGTCTTTAAATGTCTTAACCATCTAGTCGACTTTGATTTTAACCTTACCATAATCTCCCGTATACATAGCCATAAAACACGCCAGAATAACAATTACTATCTTCCACGCCCACGTACGAATTGGGGAAAACAGCAATTCACTTATCACTCGGTATCGGAATGGAACTCTTTACCTATTGAACTGAAAGAATCTACTAATCTTAATCTCTTTAAATCCAAACTAAAACAATTTATGTAATTAAGTTGAACAATTTATCTAATTAAGTTGAGTTTTTTCTAAATATGATGTATAATTATATATAATCCACTTGTAAATATTTTATAGTTTTTAAATAAACATAGACGTATAGTTTACGAATACCATGTATAATATCGATATACATTACAGAACCTCCCTGAAAAACACTTCGGTGAGCGGAGCTTCCAGAATAAATATTATTATTATTATTATTATTAATATTATTATTATTATTATTATTAAATCAGATAAATCTTTATAGAAAGTCGGCATGAAGTTTGTGGTGCTTTTCAAATTGAATGAAAGAAATATCGACCATTAAGCTAATGTCTCAATTAGGCATATATAAAGTCCCCGTTCTCACGTTCATTGTTTTAGATACCATAACATTTTGCTGGCGATTCAAAAAATATCCGCGTTCATGCACACGTAGCGTAACGAACTGTTTCCCACCGTCCAAACGCAAAAACGATACGATGTTAAACGCGAGCAAAATATAATATCGCTAATAGGCGTTACCTAATGATTCCGACACCTCATTATGCGTGTTATCAGCGTAGGTGGCATTCAAATTTCATCGATGTTACATCATCGTTTTATAAAAAAGTATTTCCCATGAGTTTACACGAATACACCAACCTCGTACCCAGGCGCTATGTGTTGTTCTATGGCTTGCGCGGCCTTTGCGTGGGCTACGTGGATTAATTTGATCGAGTTTTAAACCCAAAGCTTTAGCTTGCTAAAAGCTAAAGAAGTTACCAGCTTGAAGCCTCGAAGAAGAGTCGCTCGAACAACTTTCGGGCAGTCCTAAGACGATAAATCCCATGCAAGGCACCTCCCTTAACAATTATATCTTATCATTTACCTTACTCAGTAAGTCATTTCAAGTGTTCAGAACTACATAAATGGAAATCAACAGGATAAGGCTCAGATTAATCAGGTTGAGAAGCAACCCGATATAAATATAATTGCAGGAAACGAAAACGGTGAGGCTGATTTGTCTGTTTTACTTGTTGAGGAGAATTCTAAATCTTCAAAGCCATTAAAGCGCAAGTATAAAAAGAAGAAATCTGCTAAAACGGTAATCAATTTGCCGTCTGCAAATGCGAATTCAAATTCTAATGACTCAACCGGTCATTTATTCCAAGCATGTATTGTTCATGAAGATAATGACATTGGCACCGCCTCTACAAGTACAGGAAGCTGCCCCAATAATGCTTCTAATTTAAATGCATCTAAATTAAACAACAAAAGTGTTGAATATAATTTGCCAGAAGACCAGTCTCCTACAATTAATGCAAAACATACAAAAAATGTGACTGTTGTTGTTCGTGATTCAATGGTGAGGAATCTACAAGGCTGGCGCCTGTATACTGAAGAAAACCACGTTGTTGTTAAAACCTTCGCTGGTGCGAAGACTTCTGATATGGAAGATTATGTAAAACCAGTTATCCGCAAAGAGCCTCAAAAATTAATCTTACACGTAGGTACTAACGATCTTAAGAAATCACCTCCTAATCGGGTAGCTGAGGGAATTGCGAATATTGCAACTCAAATACAGGAAGATTCTTCAGGAACTGAAATAGTTATATCAAGTTTATTACCTAGATCGGACAAGCCAGAACTATCAGCTAAAGTTAACGAAACAAATAAGTTAATTAACGCTATTTGCTGTAAGAGTAAGTGGAAATTTATTGACCATGCATAAACTGATTAACGCTACTTGTCTCAACTCAAGAGGCTTACATCTCAACCGCAAAGGGACAGCTCAATTCGCTAAAAATATATCTCGTTATATTAAGTCAAGCTAGGAATTTGCCGATAGGGAGTCGGTTTGTACAGTAGCTGCTCACCCTACAATGTTTAATTCTAATACCAAATCTATACCTGAACTTTGTAGCCGTGGGTTGTCTATTGCATGCCTAAATATTAACAGTCTTGTTGCACATATAGATTAGCTACGTATTTTTATACATAGTTTAAGATCTAATATTGATGTACTACCCTTGCGAAAACAACTATATTATATTGCTATTTTAAAACTATTTTATTACTATCACCCCTATTTTTATGCTATTTTATTCAGAAGCAACCCTATTTTAATTCTATCATAATATTTCACCAAACGAAAGAGTAATATTTTATTAATGTTTTATTTTATTTTATTCCTATTTTTATAGATAATAGAAATAAAATCGCATATTTTAATACTATTTTCCAGAGCTTCAGGGAAAAAATAGGTTTAAAATAGCCTATTTAAATTCTATTTTACTTCACTAAAAAGCAGTTAGAAATTAATATAGATATAAAATATACTATTTTTAAACTCATAAAATAAAATAGGCTGTTTAAATCCTATTTTACATTGCAAGTTAAATGCACGAATTTCAAACAGGAATAAAATATACTATTTTAATCCTATCTTTCTTTCATAGTTAGCAAAATAACAATAAAATAGACTATTTTAAACATATTTT